TTATGAGACAAAAACTAAATAATTACCTCCTGTTTATTTCAGAGAAACCCACCACTCCTCCTGTCTCCACTCCTCCTGTCTCCACTCCTCCTCCTACATCAATCTGTCCTACTGATTCCCAGTCTCTTCTCCGTACCCTCCTGTGCTTCACATCCTTTAATGTTGCTGTTTCTCTACTCTTACTGGTTCTACTGGTTCTACAGCTTATTCAGAGGAAACGTGAAGGTGAGACACAAACTGCAGGATTTTATTCTGAAATGGGAGTAAAATAAACCCAGTAGAGATATCAGATAAGCTTTCTAAACAATGCAGCTGTGAAGGTTCAGCTGGTAAAGGAGAAGGTGGAGCAGAACACCTTCCAACCAGAAACCATCACATTGTTGGAAACAGACGATCAGATTTAGAAACAGAAAGTTTTTATCTGCAGGGAAGAAAACTATTATTAATTTAAGTCACATATTAGTCATTATGATATATAATAGTTTTAGTCAACTAAAAGTCAAAAAGGTTTTTTCTAGTTTTAATCAGTTTTATGTTGCACTTCAAAAAACAGTTAACCTTTACAATTTCAAATAACAACTAGAATCTTTCTCAGTCATTATTATATATAATAGTTTTAGTCGACTAAATTAAAAAAAAGTTTTTTTCTAGTTTTAGCCTTTTTTATGTTGCACAACATTTAACCTTTACAATTTCAAATAACAACTAGAATCTTTCTCAGACTGACAGCTCTTGCATAGATACTACAATCGTCGGAGATAAAATGCTGCAGTTCATCGTTAGACAAGCTAACAAAATGTACATTAAAGGAATGGTTTTAGACAAACAAGGTTTCCATCCAAAAGCAAACACTTCCTGGTCTACTATGGATTATGCTTTACACACCGATCAATAAAATCTTCATTGCTCCAAAGAAGCAAAGAACAAAAACATTCTTCTTTCTAATTAAAATTCAAATTGTTCTGATATAAAAAAATACACAGAGAACCTACATAATATCTTTATAATGCGATGGCAATCTGGACCTAAATTTCAATATGTAACTAAAATGATGAAATACTCAAATAGATAGAAATGAGAACAATGATAGAGAAATATTCAAAGATCTAAGTTTCTTTTCATCTGGGTCTTTATCTAAAAATTAGCAGAATGCAATGAAATATTTGCTTTGGATATAATTCAGGGATTCCTTTCGGTAGAAATTAAAGAAGGTTTAGTATCACCTCTTGTGAGCTGGAAGAAATAAAATCCTGATAGTTAGAAAAAAGAATTTTTTACACTTGACAGAGGATGATCAGCCACATTTAGTTTATCAAGTAGCGAGAGCAGGAAGAGCCAGACTGCAGACTCTGATGGGGGGGTTTTGGTATTAGTGGGCAAACGGTGTTGCACCAAAAACTCCAAACAGCTAAAATGCCCCAGATAACTTAGTCTCATTGATTTAAAATATTCTGACCACTTCTTTTTAGTAGATGTAAACTTCTGCACATTTCCAGTCTGGTGGCAGCTGGGGTTATCTGTGTTTTATTCCTTAGAAACTTCAGTTTACGCCAGAATGAGGAAGGAAGATGTCCA